AGGCCTGTGCTCTGGGTCTATTCAGGGTCCAGTGGGCCCTGGGTCATCTCACTCACATGTCAGGCCACGTGCAGACTCAGATGACAGGGACAGGGCTCCAGGAATCCAAGCAGGACAGGCAGTGACTGGAAGCTCCAGGGTTGAGCCAATTTCAATTCTTTTGGTTATATACCTAAAAGTGAAATAGATGAGTCATTTGGCAATTCTATTTTTAATTTTGAGGAATCTGAATATTGTTTTTTCATAGCAGTTTCATTTTTTTTTCATTCCTACTAACAGTTTTCAAGGGTTGTAGTTTCTCTATATCATTGCCAACCTTTATTACTTACTGTATTTTTTAATAGACATTCTAATGGATGGCAGGTAGGTGATAACTTACTGTGGTTCTGATTTACATTTCCCTATTGATTAGTGATGCTGAATATCTTTTCACATACTTGTCTATTTGTGTATCCTTTCTGGAGAGACATCTATCCAAATCATTTGGCTATTTTAAAATTGTTTTTTGTCATTGCTGAGTTTCAGTATATATGATATATATAGATATATATGGACTACAACCAACTATGCCAATTATGGACTACAACCTCTAGAACCTCTGTGTTGAAATAAACTGTTTCTCCTTGAACTTTTGGTGTTGCATATTTTGTTCCAGCAACACAAAAAGGAGTGCAGACAGATTTGGGTTCTAAGAGTGAGGTCATTGCTGTGACATTGCCTGCTGTGACATTGCCTGGCCATGTGGTTTAGGAACCTTTTAAACTGGCTCTTGGAAAGAGTTTGGAAGGGTATGATATATAGGTGTCCTTAACAGATATATGATTTGCAAAAATTTTCTCCCATTTCACGGGCTACCTTTTTTTTAATTTTAAAAAATATTTCATTTGTTTGTTTGTTTGTTTGTTTGTTTGTTTTTGGTACAGGGTCTCACTATGCGGCTTGGACTCATAGTGATCCTCCTGTCTCAGCCTCCCTAGCACCAGGGTTACAGGAGTGCACTGTTACTCCCAGTTTCGGTGGCCAGCATGCACACCCAGGGTTCCAGGGCCAGCACAGCATGCGGTACCAGGGATTGAACCTGGTTCCTTCTGCTTGCCAGGCAGGTGCTTAGACCACCAAGCTATTGTGGGCTACCTTTTCACTCTGCTAATTCTGTTCTTTGAGGCATAGGAACTTAGTTTTGGTGTAGTCTCATCTTCTTGTTTTTACTTTGTTGCTTTGGAGCACAGTTTCAATACAGTATTTATCCAAAGCTAGGTGTGGTAGGAGGGACAGTCCCATCTGCTCAGGAGGCTGAGACAGGAAGATTACCTGAGCTTAGGAGTTCAAGATCAGCCTGGGAAGGAGAGTGAGATCTCTCAAAAACAAAACAAAAGCCTCTCTCTCTCTCTCTCTCTCTCTCTCTCTCTCTCTCTCGTGCTTTGCTTTCAACTGTACTGTGCAGCTATCATATTTTACTTCTCTAAAGGGCTCCTGATGTCTCCCACATCCTACAATTACCATCTACCACAGTGAATCCTACATAATTTTTATGGTGCACCACAGAAATTTCCCTGCCATTTATGTCCAGGAGTGGCATCTATGGGTGACAGGGCATAAATGTACTTCAGTTTTACTAAACAACTTTAGTGTCTGCCATCTCAAACTCCAGTCTTCTTTATATTTTTCTGGAGAACTGAGTTACCCCTGGTCTCTGGCCATGGGGGGAAAAAACAGGTAGGTGAGATCTAATGTTTCTTCTCTGTTCTCCAGGTTGGACGACGGAGTGCTTCCAGGAGTGGGGCTCCTATATCCACCTGGCTATTCCCAGCATGTTCATGGTCTGCATCGAGTGGTGGACCTTTGAAGTTGGGACCTTCCTGGCAGGTTAGTCAGCATTCAACAGAAGCCTACATATAGCCTAGAACTAAAACTTAGAAACATTTCTGCTTCACTATCCTGTTCCAGGGGGCCTGGCCCTAGCTCAGTTTTTTAAGTGGCTGCTTCCACAAAGCCGTCAGCCTCAGGTTGCAGTAGTTCGATCCCCACAACACTCCAGCCAGCCAAAACTGCCCTGAAGGCATTCGAGGAGCACACACACACACACACACACACACACAAAACACAACAAAAAACAAAACAAAACAACTACAACAAAATAACCCTATCCTGTTCCATTTTATCAGGCTCAAAGAAAGGTTCACAATATCAGCTAAAACCCTTGGCCATCCATAGATACATTCAAGTTTGGTGGGGCTTTAGCTTAGCTCTAGAGTACTCCATTTTGTGAATGAGGGAAAGACACCAGTGAAGGGTTTTCCCATGGAGAACAAAAGCCCCAATCCAAGGCTCCATCAGGTGCCTTGTTCTTCAGCTGATTTTTGCTAGACTTCCACTCAAGGTTTTAAGATTTGGACACATATAGCATGGTTGTGCTTGGGCTATAGCCTATGTATGGCTTGTATTTAGATGCCTCCCTCCCAAATTCTCATGTGTTCATAGGTAGAACTTTTCAGAGGTGGCTGGTTCTAGGGTATGTGTTACTGGGATTAAGTTGTGTGGTGCTGGGGCTCAGACTGGGTGATTGCTAAATTAGTCCACTGATTGATTAAGCATAGTTCTGGGTATGGATAACGGTAAGGTCTACCTTGGATGTGGGTGGCACCACTGAAGATGCAGGTAACCTGGAAGGGATGAGAGTGAGCCTTCTGTTTCATTGTTGCTGCTTCTGCTGGTGCTGATGCTTGCAGGCTCATCACTGCTTTAATGCCTCCTGCCTGCCCTGCTTTGCCACGGACTGTTTCTCCTCTGCAAGGCCCCTCGTCTAGTGCTTTAACTGTGCCTTGGATCCAGCCGATGATGGACTGACACCTCTAGAAACTGAGTTGAAATAAACCATTTCTCCTTGAACTTTAAGTGTTGCATATTTTGTCCCAGCAACACGACAAGGAGCGCAGACAGATTTGGGTTCTAACAGTGAGGTCATTGCTGTGACATTGCCTGGCCATGTGGTTTATTTTTTTATCTTTTATGTTTTAAAATTTGGATGCTTTTAATACTTAGCTGTCTAACACTTCAAACATAATCCAGAATAAATGCATCATTCCTTCCCTTTCCCTTTAACATTGCACCTACCTCACTTCATTATGGAAACAGCTTCATTAAATAATTCCCAGAGAAAACTACATCACGTGTTCCCAGAGGAACAAGCTCCCAGGAGAACAGAGCCATGAGGATAGTGCACAAAAGAAAACTTCAAAATACAACTCTGTATGATAATTTACTAGTCTAAGGAAACAAACCCTATATGTTAAGAAATAAATCCAGTTACAAATGTACTCAGAGGTCTATGTGGAGAGGTTGGTGAACACCTGAAAACAGCTGGCTATTTACAAGATACACAAGCAGGAACAGTGCACTTATCAGCCCAGTGCTGGCCCTCAGAAGCTGAAAGTGTTCTCTCCGCTGTAGGCCACGTATAAGAATCCATCTTCATCCTTTTCCTTCTCGTAAAGCTGCCCCATCGTTAGGCTGGACTCTGGGACTGTCTTATCCACAAACAGGAAGATTGCCTTTTCAGAAGGAAGCTGGATCCTTTTCCTGATGATTCACATAAACTGCACCACAGTGATGTCAGATGGAACCAAGTACTTCTGTTTGTCAGTGTCAACCATCTGAGAGCCTGAGACCTTCTCCACAATCACCAGAACTCGATCGGGATATTTTGCTCGGATCTTCGCGGATTCTATACATCTGTGTTCCAGTGAGTGGTCCTCCTTGAACATCCACTTCATGGCGGTGAGGGAGGGGACCAAGCCGGCTCTTTGAGCCATGAAGTTCAACGAGCCGACCACAACAACCGGCCATGTGGTTTAGGAACCTTTTAAACTGGCTCTTGGAAAGAGTTCAGAAGGGTCTATAAATGCTGGATGCATCCCTGGCATGATTTAAGCTGTACCTGATAGAAGATTCTGGTCAGAGCTGAGAAGACCTGGATCCTGACTGAAATTCAGCCAGTAAAGTCTCAGGAGGTTTCACTTAGGAACAAGGACTGTGTTGGCAGTTAGACTCCAGACCATTGGCCTAAATTTTATCTGCATATTGCTCATGTTCAGAGATTTTGTCTGAGACTGAGATGAAAGGCAGCAGACTAATTAATCTTGTAGAAGAAATTTCAAGGTGGTGTAATGTTGAGGCAGTGGCATGGTTACTGTTAGGGACTTTTAGGCACATCTGTGTTGAGATGTGCAAAAAGCACAGCAGAATGATTGAAAACATTTTGAGGCTGGCCAGAAAGGAAGTTGCAGTACAGTTTTGGACTGCAAAGATGGAGCAGAGAAGAGCTTAGTTGCTGAGAAGGGAGAGGATGATAGAAAAGATGTTCTGAAGACATCATAAGAACTAGTAGGACTCTACCGTTTTCAGCTTCAAAACTGCAAAAGTGAAAGACTTTGCTCTAGAAGATACTAGATACTACCAGAGCACCAATGGCAGCATCCTAGGGAATTGGTTCCTCAGGTTGGGTTCAGAGAGCTCAGCAATCCAGGCACTAAACCCGACAGCGAGAGAGAAGCCTGGCTACTGCTCCAGGTAGCAGCAGACTTCGGGGTCATCCATGAGGTGCTGATTTCAGGCACATGCTGAATGAAAGAGTTGTGGGGTCAGAAAGGTTTCCACCCAAGTTTCAGAAAACACTCCAGGAGGCCAAGCAGTGTGCCCCTGAGAGGGCAGTGTGTGAAGCTGTGCCTGTAAAGTTGAAGGTGTAGTGGAGACCCCAGAAGGTTAGAAAAGCCAGAAGCATGGATCATCTGAAGAAAGCTGCAGGGAAGAAGCAAAGCCAGCCCACGAGAGAAAACATAAGAGTGGCAACCACCCACGTGCCATAGGGATGTAGGCATGCAAGCTCTTTGGAGTTCATGTTGTGCCGCAGAGTGTCTTAGTGGCTAGACATGGAGATACAGGATTTAATATTTGCCTTGCTGGATTTTGGACTTGCTTTGATACTATTCTTTTCCATTCTCCTATTTGGAATGGGAATACTTATTTTGTACCTCTGTATATTGGAAGTGTGTAACTTTTTTCATCTGTACAGGGGCTCCCAGTTCAGAGTTTGACTTAAATCCCAGAAGAGACTTGGACTTGGACTTTTTAGCAATGTTAAAACTGTTAGGAATATGGCAACTCTTGGAGATAAACTAAATGCTGTTTGCATAAAGACATGCTGGAAGTCCATTGTATGGTGCTGGGATTAGGGGTGCATAATTACTAACTTAGTCTGCTGATTTCTTAAGCATAGTTCATGATATGGGTAATGAAGGGCCACTGGGTGTGGGTGGTACCACCCAAAAGGTAGGTAGCTTGGAAAGAATAAAAGAGAGAGTCTTAAGTGTTTGCTGCTGCTTTTTGTGGCACTGCTGCTTGCTGATTTTTCACTGCTTTCCTGCCTTCTGCCTTCTCTGCTTTGCCATGGGCTGTTTCTCCTTTGTGATGCCCCTCTGCCATGTCACGCTGCCTTGGAGCCAGCCAACTATAGACTGAAACCCCTAGAAACAGTGAGCTGAAATAAGCCTTTCCTCCTTGAGTTTTTGGTGTTGGATATTTCATGGCAGCACCTAGAAAGTAACCAAGACAACCTGTTTGTACCAGCATTGTAGTGACTCCCACCACTGTGCACAGAGTCCTACTGCGCTGCCACCTTCTTCCCACTACATGACCTCAAGTTTTCTAGGAATGATCTGCAACTCCAGGAGCCTGTTTTTTCTTTACCTTGAACCCATGGTGGAAATAGGGGGTAGAAGCCTGCGATCTTGGCAACTCCCTTGGAAAATAATTCTCAATCCTCCTCAGCAGATAGTGAATTTGATCATCAGACCATGCTTCTGGGACATTCTTGGCTCCTCTTAAATTAAAATGCAATCTAATTTCATAAAAGAAACATTTGCTATGATCCACTTTTTGAAATGTGTTCTGTGTGTATTGATATTTCAGGACTGATTAATGTGACAGAACTTGGAGCACAGGCCATCGTTTATGAACTGGTCTCTGTGGCCTACATGGTAAGAATCTTGGGGTGAGCCTTTGCACCTTCTCTATGTTTGTTTTGCACAAAGAGAAAGAGAGAACAAGAATGAGAGAGAAAAAGAGAGGCAGACAGACACAGCCACAGCCACAAACAGGCAGATACAGAGACAGGTACAGAGAAAAAAGAGACAATGAAGTAGAGAGAGAGTATAGCAGAAAATGTCCCCCCCAGCCAGCATACTTCAGTTTGTTAGTTGACTGAGTAACAGTTCCTGTTACTTTTATTTCTTAGAAATGGCTGGTCACTATGATGTATATTGTAAGAACCAATCAAAGACAGCCAAGTACTCTGCCTTTGTACAGTGCTCCCTCACTTACCATGGAGGTTATGTTCCAGACACCCCTGCGATAAGTGAAAGTAAGCATAGTAGCAACATTATATTTATTTTAGTATCTATCTATCTATCTATCTATCTATCTATCTATCTATCTATCTATCTATCTATCGGCTTTATACACCCTTTCTACACTCTTATAAACCTTTCCCACGCTTATAAAAACAGTTCTAATGTTCACAACCATTTTATAAACTCATAAATCTAAATAATTTTAAAACATACATTTATCATATGGTACTGAAAAATCCCACGATATAGTGAAAAATTCACAATAAATAATTTAGATTAATATTTTTTGAAAACCTGCAAAACAGTGAGTCTGTGAAAGTCAAACCACGAAATAGTGAGAGACTATTGTACTTCCCCTTGCAGCACCCCCTACCCCACCCAACCAAGCCTTTGGAGCCTGATGTTTTGGGAATGCTCCTGATGAGTGCCTGTCGACACAGAGGTGGCCACGTTTTGGACAAAGTAGTCAAGGAGGGTCTTTCTGCATTGCTGTTTAAGGCTTGAAAGATGAGATCAGTGGGCCTGGGGTGCCCGTGGCTGGGAGACAGCTGTGTAGCCCAGGCAAGGGGCTCGGAGGAACAGTGCATGGCACCACTGAGGGTTAGTGAGGAGGAGGGTGATGGCAGGCTGAGGAAGGCTGAGGGCAAGGGAAAACCGTTCATGCTGCTGTGTAGCAGCTGGCTTAAAGCTGGGGAAGAAGTGGAGGTGGGAGTGCTGAGGGGGTCCAGGTACGCAATTAGGAGGCTGCTGGGAGGGCAGAAGTGGATGCGTGAGATCCGTGGGGACTGGCCACAGCCAGCATTGTGGGGTGTGAGGCAAGGAATGAGAAGAGTCATGTTCAGCTTGAACACTTTTCCATAGTTTTTTAATATTCCACTTCTGCAGAGGTGGGATACATGTTGTTGTCTGGCTCCTCTTCTCTCCCCTTCCTCCTCCTCCCCCAACTGGTACCGGGGGTGGAACCCAAGGACTTTGCAGTGACGTACATCTACAGCTTGCCTTCTCTCTCTCTCTCTCTCTCTCTCTCTCTCTCTCTCTCTCTCTCTCTCTCCCTTTCTTTCTCTCTCTCTCCCTCCCTCCCTCCCTCCCTCCCTTCCTCGCAGCTCCGACTTGTAGTGGTCCTCATGTCTCAGCCTCCCCAGGGCTGGATCACAGGCATGCACCACCACGCCTGGTATCAGGGCTGGCATGGCGCGTCCTGGGTCCTGGGCCAGCATGGCATACAGTACCAGAGATCGAATTTGGGTCCTTGTATTTGCCAGGATAGTTTTTAGTTCTCCTTAGTACTTAGGTACCCTTTCAGGACTTGTGATCTTCTTTAACTCCAGAAATTTAAAAAAAAAATATATATGTATATGTGTGTGTGTGTGTTTGTGTGCACATACATATGTATATACAATCTCTCCCCTTTCTGTAACTTTTTTCTATTCTCTCTTTTTGAGTTTCCTGCTAGAATCTGATCTCCTGCATTAACCTGTTGGATCTCCTAGATTAACCTTCTTGCTTTTGACTTTTTTTTTTTTTACTTTAAAGAAAACTTCTTTTTTTGCATTTCCCTTCTGGAAACTGGTTATTATTAAATCACTAAATGGCCCAGGTTGGGCTTGAAGTTGTGATCCTCCTTGCCTCAGCGTTCCAGAGTGCTGGGATTATAGGCAGGTCCCACATCAGGGCTCTTCTTCTTTTGTGCTATACTTTCTTTAATTATCTTTGAGGATACTAAATCAAGCCTTTAAACATGCTTTTGTGACCCTTGAGTTGTCTATTCTATTTCCTCTGAAATCAATTGACCTCTTATTTATATCTTTTTTTCAAAGTTTTATTGATAAACAGATAGCAATGAGACAGTTTCAAATCAAATCTGAAGTACAGTTTCAACAAATAATACACTGCATATATTCTTCTTAGTCTCTTATTTATATCTATCCTTAGAGGAGTTGTGTGCTTCATTTCTCCTCAAAGCCCTGGTGATCGCTTATTAACACTTATGAAGGAATGAATCTGTTGATTTATAAAATAAATGGCCAGCATTATGTTCCTTTCCCTTGCCTTGGAGGTCTTTCTCCAACAAATCCTTTTCCACTGGGAGGGACAGAACAGTGGGGGGCTCCATGCAAAGATGACGTCTGTCCAGTGATATCTTGGTTTCAGGGTTTACAGGTGAGCAGCACGCAGAGGAGCATGACCACCTTGTCCCCATGTCCGCCCAGCCCCCTGACAGGAGCAGGACTTGGTTCTGGGCGCTCACACCGCATGGGGAGGCTGCAGCTTTTCCTCCCTGTGTTAACTCTGCCATGTGTGAGTGGAGTCTGAGGGAAGTTCAGTCAGGTTAGGTGGCATCTCCCTGGTTGAAGAGAACCGTGGGAACAGCGAGACTCTCGGGCTCCCCTAGGAAGAAGGGGCGTGATCTGGTGGCCTTCCGTGGCCAACTGAGCGGTGGCTTCCCGTGGTTCTCCCCCAGTGTCATGGCAATCACCCCTGCTTTTCCTCTATTAAAAAAAAGTTATACAGCTAGTTTCTCCTAGTTCATTGAAAAGAAATGTTTGTGCTAATGTTGGGACAAGATATCATGTCTATTTCTTGCACTCTAACTGCTATGAAGACATGTGCAGTGTACTAATTATTGTAACTCTTCTACTAACCTGCTTTGATGCTCTGTTTTATTCTTTCCTTTATTTTTTCTCTTTAAAATAAAAAAGACCCTGGCACCACAGGTCAGGCTAGCACTGCCCCTGGGTGCACTGAGCCAGCCCCAGAGACCTAGCAGGGTGGTGCACCAGAGCTAGGGAGGCTGAAAACAATTCGTTCATGGATTTCTTTTCCACCAAGCACTGGAATTTATTTTCTACTAGTGGTATATAAGGAGGGACGAGGATTAAGCATGTTGTTCTCATCATTTATGTTGAACTAGAGGTCAATCATGTGCTTTGGGTGCCCAAGTCCTATACAGTTCCATATGTCATGTACATTATTTTTCAAGTTCTATTTTATTTTATTTATTATTATTATCTTTTTATGTTTTTGGTACATGGTACAGGGTGTCACTACACAGCTCGGACTCATAGTGATCCTCCTGTTTTCAGCCTCCCCACCATGCCACAGATCTATATCCCTGGCCCCTGTATAACTATCTTAATTATCATATGTGTAGATATGTGTTTTCTTTTTAATATTACAAATTTAATATGTTTTTAATCACTTCAGTTTAGACTAGTTTTCAAAACAAATTAGGTAGCTGTTGAAAGGACGTTGCTACTAGAAGGCATGAGAAGTTCCGTCAATGCATAAACTATTAAAAGCCAATACCAAAGCTGTCTTTCTGTATAACACATGTCACCCAAATAACACAGGGGCAGAACTGTGTTTCAGGATAAGTGAGGGTCAGAGGAAAACTCTGAAGACTGAAACAGAAAGACCTACAGCTTTAGAATTCTATAATCAATGAATGGAGTTGTAGCATTTGAAAGGGCATGTATTCCAACCAGCTGGATGGTCAGACTCACAGCCTGTAGCCAGCAATGAGGGCTTGAGGAGTCAGAGGCTGTACCCTTTATTGAGTCCTACAGCACGCCAGGCTTTGTTCTAAATGCTTTTTCACCTAATGCCTTCAATTTTTATAAATAATGTATGTACTTATATTGTTGTCTTACCTTGTAGAATGCAGCTAGATTGAATTAAGACATGATTATTTATGTGTAGTCAAGGAAGAAGATATTTGGCCCCCAAAGCCAGCTTCCTTAAGAGGTTCTGCTGTGGCATGTGGGCCACAGAGAGCAGTCAGGGAACCTGCTGTGCTCTTTCATCAGTGAAGAAATAGGGTGTCTGGGAGGCTAAGCAATTTGACTCTGGTCACCCAGCTAGAATGTAGTAGAATCTAGAACTCAGATCCCTAACCCTGTCTTAACTTCCCCGGTGGACCCTAGTTCACTAATACTTAAATTTTCAGGATTTTTGTTGTAACTTATGATTTTTAATTCCTAGGTGCCCTTTGGCTTTGGTGTGGCTGCCAGTGTCCGAGTGGGCAACGCTCTAGGGGCAGGGAATGCTGAGCAGGCCCGATGCTCCTGTACCGCTGTTCTCCTGTGTGCTAGTGAGTATAGCCCTTCTACTCCCCAGTGTCTATATGGAGTTTAGTATTATAAGTTAAAATCAACATGTCAGAAGTTCTCTAGGAATGGAACTATACACACACACACACACTGAGGTAAATCTTTTAATTATAATTTTTTAGTATTGCATAACAAGTTATTAATGCCGGCTGGAGATGTAGCTCAGCAGCATAGCGCTTGCCTGACAAGGACAGGTCCCAAGTTTGAGTCCTGGTGCCAAACAAAATAAAACAAAGCAAAACGTGGCATAAATAACGCTATGCTTGGTACTACTTAAATAATTTCAAAGGCAGTTATTATCATGTGCAGTCTTATTTTTGACCTCAATCTGAGTGATGGATTCTCTGTGTTCCTAGACGATTGCATTTTCTGGCAGTTCTAACGTCCTAGAATCTGAGCAATTAGAAAAGATTCTGAGGTACTGATGGCTTAGTCTATATGTGTCACTCTCATAGAATACCTGAGATGGGCAATTTATCAGGAGCAAAACCTTATTTCTCCTAGCCCTGGAGAGTAGGAATTCCAAGATAAAGGAGCCAGTGGGATTGGCCCTGAGGTGAGAGCTGCTCTTTCCTTCCAAGATGGCTGCTTGCTGCTGCATTTTCCTGAGGGAGACAGTGTTTCTGCACACCTAGGAAAGGAAGGAAAGGGTGAAAGGTGGACAAAATTCCCTCTGTGTAGCCCTTTTACAAGGGCACGCGATCTCATTGATGCCAGCAGAGTCCTTGCAATTCAGTCACCTCCCATAGGCCACACTTCCCCATCCTGTTGCATGCAAGATTAAATTTTAACATGAATTTTGGAAAAATGAAACCATTCAAACTATAACAACTGTTGAGGATATTTCACTTTAATCCTCCTTTAAAAAGTGTCAGAATTGGGCTGGCAAGATAGCTCAAGCCGTTAAGGGCCTGCTTAGGCAAGCGTAGGGACAAGGTTTGATCCCTGGCACTACGTGCTGCACTGGGTGTGCTGAGCCAGCCACCGAGTCTGAGCGTGGTGGCACATGCCTATAATCCTAGTGCTGGGAAAGCTGACACAGGAGAATCACTACAAGTCTGAGCTATGTAGTGAGACCCTGTACCAAATACATAAAAAAGTCAGAATCATGCCCTTTTTGTAAACAATAAAAAGAGACTCTACTTACATTACAGCTTTTCTTGTGTCTTTTGAGATGGGTTCTCAGTGTATTGCCCAGGCTAATCTCAGACTTGTGAGCTCAAGTATTGCTTCTGCCTTTCAGTGTCTGGGATTACAAGTGTTTCTTAAATTACTGATGCAAGTCTTTCATGAGATCTCAACCCTAGGACTTACCCCTGGAGACTTATGACACCCTGCTGCTTCTTTGTATTCCAGGTATGTGTGCTCTCGCAGTGGGACTTCTCCTCACAGCGTTGAAGGATGTGATTGCCTACATATTCACCAAAGACGAGTACGCACTTATTGAGAAAATGTCTGGTTTGCTTTGATGTGCTTATCACTATACTTTTTTGATTATGAGAGGCAGGTAGCATTGAAGCTCGTCAGAAAACCTGAAAAGCAGACAGTAGTCAGAAGCACAGTGCTAAACTTAGGTGGGTTGGAATGAAAAAAGCCCACGAGATCATCTCTGCTCGTCTAGTATCCAGTACATTTACTCACCAGACTAAGTGGAGTTTCAGTTAGATACACAGAAAACACACATAACATATCCTTGCCACCAGGGGGCGCCACACACTCCAGAGCTTGCTGACAGCACCCAGGCCTGGTTCTTTCTGGGCAGTATCCCCAAAACTCATGGATTCAGTATTAAGCTACATCTTATTGTAGTTCCTGAAACAATGTTTGCATAATTTTGAGGTATAATAAAATGTCTTTTCAATAAAAATTCTTCATACTTAGGGGTGTGGCTCAGTGGTAGAGTGCTTCTTTATGAAAAAAAAAATTCAATAATTTGTACTTCCAAGTTCTCTTGGGAAGAAACTCAGTTTTATTCACTTTAGGTTGCGCTCTCCAGTCTCATCCCATCCCACTGGCTTTTTTTTTTTTTTTTTTAATGGCAAGTTTGTCTAGTTTTTTTTAAACTTTCCTTTTGAACTTTTATT